AGCAGCATGTCATTACGACGGCTTCAATTTTTGTAGTAGCCAGAAAATCTCCGTGGCAGCTTCTACTGAATTCTCTCTCACCTCATTGCTGATTTTCTCCTTGCTCCCTACTGTGGGCGTACTCTTGCTTACTCAGACTTCTCCAGACCGCCCCACTTGCCACTCTCTTTGCCTGGACCCTCTTCACGTGGACACCTGCAGTTTTCTCGTTCAGCCCTTTATTATAGCCTGGTAGGTAAAGGGTCCCAGTAACAGGCTCTTGGGAAAAGAGTAACAATAAAAGTTTAAAGCAGAGATTCACTATCCCAGAGGCAGCCCAGAGGCATGAAGACCACATCTCTCTGTCAAGTCAGTCCTGAGCTCTTTGGAGTGGAGAAACTGAGGCCATCCAGATGTAGAAATCCCTGGAACACCCCCTCCCCTCACAGAGATAGAGAAGCTGCAGAAGAATACATGAGATTACAAGAAGACCATCAATGGTGCCAACTTTTATGTATGCAGAACTCTAAGCAACTCCATTTGGAAGAACTGTTTAAAAGTTTCTTCTGAGAGTCATTCCAGGCTCACTCTCCACGCCCGTGGTCTCTCTTGAACACACATCTTGCTTCTCTCTTTGTTTCTTTGCTTGCTTTTTTCCACCCTGGAGAAGCCCGTGTTCTCTCTTGAGCATGGACTTCTCTCGTTTTCTCCCCTCACGTCTTTCTAAATAAGTTTCATTAAAACTTTCTTGCTTCATTTCACTTCCTCACAAAACTCTTTTCTCCGCGACCCTCAGTGCCTGTGCTGAGATCAGGGCCTGAGCCAGGCATCCCCCGTGCTGGTGGCTGAGGTGGTTGGACAGAGTGGAAACACTCCTTCGTCAGCTCCTGGGTTCCTGCTTGACTGAACCACTGACAGCAGCAGGATTGTTTCGGTTCTTTTTAACTCCGTTTTCCTACATTTGTCTCAGCATTTTATGCAATTATGTGTACACATGTACACACACATTACAATTTCTCCCAATAGTTTTTTTTGAGGGAGGGGGCACTCTTACTCTGATTGTCGTGTGCTCTTCATTCATTCCAGGTCATTTTTCTGAAAGTTGATGCCAGTCTAACTCAGGCCTATACTTACTTCTTACTATGCATAATTAAGAAAAGTTGTTAAACTCCATTTTTATTTTTGAGTATGAGAGTCTTCATGTGGCTTTGCATGCACGTGTGTGTGTGTAGCCCCTGGGACCAAGCCCAATTCACCTATAAAAGATGTGCTCTACCACTGAGCACAAAGTTAAAAAAAATGTGTCTCCAGCCCTGCCTGCCTTTGTTTTTGTATATACTATTCAATTTTGTGACTTCTTTTACTTTTTCTTCTTAAAAATTGCTGTTACCTTCTATCCACACAGTAACTTGGGGCTGAAAGCAATTTCTAATCAGAGCAGCAGCCTGGGAGAATTCCAGCTTAATCATGGCATCCGTATGATCTGGTGAAGCTGGCTAACCACTCTGGTGCATTCTTCAGCTATTTGTAGAGTGGATTTCCTATCTCTGAGGAGATACTGTGAGATGTACATGGCAAAGGTGGCCAAGAATTAAGCACTGGACCAGATTGTGCCTGTTGAAGCTTCACTTTTCTGAGTGGAAGCGTCTGTTTTCCTCTGAACTCTTCCTTAGAATCGTTCCTATGTTTCTCCCAACGTTTTCTTTTTATGCTCTCTCCCAAGATAAACAGGGTAAAACAGTTCATGGGGTAGTTTTCTCTCACACCAAATCTGTGCTTTAAATCCTTTCCCCTCCCTTCCTTTTCAGTCAGCAAGTATTGACTAAAAGCTCATGGTACAGATATTTAATTCAACTCTGCAGTTGTGCAAGCCTGTTGTTCCAGTTCACCAATGGAAACCCAGTCTGCCTGGAACTAGACCATGTTCAGAGTTAATCCTCCGTTAATGCATTTGTTAAATTAGTCTCAGCTAACACAGAGATGAGAACACTGTTTAATGTGAAAGATTCTGCTGTTGAGTCAACACTTAACTCCAAGGGTGTTGAAGGGAAAAGATGCTGTTTCAGCACAGCTAAAGAGCCTGCTACCTGGTGTCTCCGCTGAGCCTTTTTGTTAAGAAAAGAGATCTGGGGAACAGAAGTCATTTTCAGTTCACTTTAAAAAAAATATTTATGTTTTTATTTGATTATTATAGTTTAGGGCACATTTTACAGCAGTGCTCATATTTGTGGCTTTGACATACACAATTTTACACCTAACCACCACGCAGATATCTAAGACCCTCCCTCAGTGTCTTCGTGTGGCTTCTAGCCCACCTCTTCAGTACCCCACCCCACTCCCTAGCCCAGACCCTGCCTGGTTATCTCTGTTTAGTAATTTGAACCTAGGCTGTGGAGCGGAGTTTTAAAGGCTCAGAGGAGTTTTGTTCTGGTTATTATTGATGCAATCATATAATTTTTACCTTTTATATGGTTTATTACATTATTTGCATACATTGGAAGTTCTTTGCCTTGCTGTATTAAATCACACTTTCGGCCGTGACATAAAATTATTCTAATGTTTATTGTTTCCATTTGCTAAGATTTTGTTGAGGATTTTGAATCTTTAATCAGGGATACTGCTCTATCGTTTAATGAGTTGTTTTTAGCTTCTTTAATATTCAGACCAATGAAACCCAAACATCAAAGCCAGTAGTTCTACCCTATTCTCTATTTTGTGTTTACTGTAAATTTAGGCTGGACAGCTTGTAGCCAGCTATCCACCAGGTGGAAAAGCTCAGAGCATTTGTTAAACCTTTTCTGGCTTTACATATTGTAAGATGATTCGGGGTAAACTATTTATCAAGTGTGACTAGAAAATGAAACGAGAGAACTTGTTGAGTAGGAGTGTTATTTATAAGCCAGTTGTAAATGGAGGAAAACGAGTGGAGGGGTAGTACAGGGGTATTTGCCTTATATGTGGCCAGCCCTGATTCGTTCCACAGCCCTGCATATGAACCAGAGTACCTCCGGGAGTCCTCACTGAGCACAGAGCTAGGAGTTCTGAACACATCTGGGCATGGCACAAAATCCCCTCACCTTTGGGTTACGGAATAGGTGAACTTCAGCTCTTTGGTTTTCTGGTAGAAATTAGATAGCAAAAGAATTCCTCTGTTAGTAATTGCGAAATTATAGTACTCTCAAGTTTAAAAAGGATGTTCACGTAGAGAGAGTAAGGGGCTTAGAGGAGGTGTAGTGGGGGGATACTGGGGACATTTGTGGTGGGAAATGTGCACTGGTGGAGGGATGGGTCTTCTATCATTGTATGGCTGAAACTCAATCATGGAAGCTTTTGTAACTATATCTCATGGTGATTCAATTGAAAAAAAAAGATGTTCATAAGCTACTTGGCTCACATGTTAGGGGAGTTTATATGAAATGGTGTGGCATATATTAATAAGAATCAAGTTAGCCAAAGTGGAGCTAGCGTCTGCCCTCTTATTTCCCACAGAGAATACGTTCATTTCTAAATGCCTTTCTGCCTTCCTGACTTCTGCTGAATTCCTCACGTTCCGAGTTAGTCTCAAGATATTTGCAAAGAGATTCCCAAACGAAGAAGTTTACTGAAGAGCAAGGTTCATGTTATTGTCAGATGCTAGGAAATGCTTCAATTTTTTTGTGGTGCTCTCTTTATTGTGACTTTCCTAGGATACTGCCCCGTGGTCACTCCGTGGTGGCAAGAGATGGACTGTCGGTTGACTAGAGCAGTTTACTAGAATCAGGAGATTTGGTTTCTGACCTTCATTCATTTCGTGATTTTATGATCATTGTTTGATTTTTCAGTATTCCTTACCTCAGCTTCTTGTTAAAGTGAGTTTCTAGTAACCACTCGGCTGTCTCTCAGGAATGTTGCTGCACAAATAGTATACGTATTAAAATGCTTTGGGAGTAAAGCTGCTCTGTGAATAAAAATCGGTGTGATAGAGCTACTGAAAAGTCTGTTGCAGAAGTTAGAACAATCAAATCTTCAGAGGGTTCAGAACTCACTAAGGCTTCAGAGAAGATTCTGGCAAGCAAACCCCACCCATCTGACAAGAGTTCAGAGCTATGCAGTTTAAGGGAAATGAAGCTCCTTCCAAATATCTGTTACCTTGATGTAGATGTGGCTATGTATGAATTAAACACCACCTTGTGAATAACTTTAAGCAGTCTTTAATATGCCATTTCTGTCGTCATTTTGAAGGATGAGAATTTGATATGTTTGTCAAAGTTCAGAAGTAAGTTTATGAATGTATGGCAAAGAGAAATTAGCTAGAATGTTTACTCAGGGAATAATAAGTATTCCTTTGGCTTTTGGAGGTTCTAAGTGGTGGGAACACCCGAGCTGTGTGAGAAACATACCAGGCAGTGTACAGGGTGTTTTCTAGGCTCTGCTCAGGGACCATCACTCCAGGTCATGCTGAGGGCACCCTACACTGCCCGGGACCGAGTCTAGCCGGCTGTATGCTAGGCAAGCTGCCTTACCTGCGGTCCTGTCTCCAGCCCCCCAGTAATTAGTTTGAAGACTGACACTTCCAGCCCGTGTCAGACTCTCATCTTTCCCTTAGACTTGCTTTCCCCCTTATTTTCTATCACTGTTGACAGTTTCTTTCTCACTCTTAAACATGACGGTGTAGTTGACTCAGTCATTGTGGACCCAGGCCTTGAAACTCTGTTGAAGGCAGAAGAAAGTGGAGACAGTTTTCTTGACATCCTTGGTGGGTGCCCCTCTGCAGAGGGCCCACGTGGTGCCTGGTGCATGCAGGCATAAACCGACCACTTTAGTCACGTATCTGACACCGTCTTATCCCCCTGTTCCTCTCCAAGATCTCCTCAGGGCTCCTGACTTCAGTCCCCAAGGAGAATGAGCAAATATTTAATTGTTTAGACAGTTCATGTAAGAGGTCCGATCTAGACTGCTTGGAAATTTTTATTCCTAACTCAACTGACCTTTGTTTTTGTTTTTTTGTTTTTGTTTTGTTTTGTTTTGTTTTTTTCCCGCAGGGGACCATTTCTAGTGGCGCTGGGGAAGTCTTGGCACCCGGAAGAGTTTAATTGTGCTCACTGCAAGAACACCATGGCCTACATTGGCTTTGTGGAGGAGAAGGGGGCCCTGTACTGTGAGCTGTGCTATGAGAAGTTCTTTGCTCCTGAGTGTGCTCGATGCCAGAGGAAGATCCTTGGGGTGAGTGTGGGAAGTCTGTCCTGTTTCTTTTGAGTTTTAGAGCACAATGATTGATGATGATGATGATGATGATGAAATTCATCAACTTATCTGTTTTACTTCTGGCTTGATCTTCTCTCTATGTTCATTACTACTTATTATCATAATCAAAAGTAAATAGACCTGTGGAATGTGGGTGAAATGGGCTGACAGGGTTGACAGCTTTGTCTCACGGTTTTGGCCTCTCTGTGAGAGGCACGGAAACCCCGAGGAAGGCCGTGCTACCTCAGCAGGACCCCGCTTGCTCGAGGATGAAGAAGGTACTAAGGCCACACCCACCAGCATCCTCAGAACCGGCCCCTGCACTACTGCAAAGAAATCCCTCGCCTCCTAGAAGAGCAGCACAGCCCCTTGTCCCACTTGTCAGAGTTCAAGTACAGGGCACAAGTCTCATAAAATATAAAATAAGAGACTTAAGATGTATATTTATCTTGAATGTATACTGTTTAAAAGTAGAACTTGTTCTAAGAAAATGTAGACATGGGTTTTAAAAATCAGCCTTTTCAGAGTTATTCTTTTTAAAAGAGTTTGCTCAAGCGGGCCCAGTAACGTCTCCATTGGAGACTTTGTTGTTACTGTGTCTGGCATATCGAATACTCTCGGTAGCTTGCCGGGTAGTACCTAATAATGATAAATGATTAAATTTGCTACTCTGCATATCCATTTTACAATCATGAAGTGAAGTAATGGTTAGGTATTTACTGTAGAAGCTGGGGTTTTATTTTAGAGGCATCCAGGTCTCTTGATGTCATACAACGCTGATAAAACTTACTGGAAATGGTCTTGATGAATTTGAATATTCTAAATATGAAAATATAGTAATATCTAATCCTTATAAGTTGGATGAAAAGTTAATATGAATTGTAGAAAGTCTTCATTTTAAGCCTTTAAGTCTGAAGATTTGATAATACTTAATATTAAAAAATATACCACATGAAATATGTCCATATTGATTGATATGATATGTTAAGGGAAAGTATAGTATCCAAATGATTCACATTGGTACTTTCCCAAAAAATGACAAATAATAAATATAACACAAACTGATTTTAGTGTATGAATATAGGATGAATTCTAGATTAATGAAAGAAAGGTAAATCATAGTCATAGAACTAAGTAAGATTCTCAGAGATGGAAATCAAATTTTTTGCTTTTAAGATGGGCCAGACCCCACTAAAGAAACAGATTTTCTGAATTGTGTTTTAGCTTCTTGATTACATGCTTAGAAAGGAAACCAAGTATAGAAAGGAAAGCGTCGGCTGGAATTCTTAAGAAGTGATTTGGTTTACGCTTTGATTGGTTCTGCTTTTTCATGGTGATCCCTTTACATCTAAACAACTGCCATTTCCTTCCAATTAAATTAGTCATGAACCATGACATTTTCCTTAGCTAATAATTTATTCTACATACGATTTGCTTTGGATACTGTTTTATTACAAAAAATTATTTTACTCTAAACAATTTAAAAACAAAAGTGCAAAGGGTAAAAGCTTAAATTTAAATCCTGTAAATTTATCAATCCCAGATAATTCTTCTTAGACTCAGGATGCGTTTTCTTCCTGTTTCCTTCTTTGCAAGCAAAATTGTAACCATATTTATAAGGCATCCTCTTCCTTCTGATTAATATTATGAATAAATTCCTGTTTTAACTATTCCTCAAAAGTGGCATTTAATGGCTCCTTCTCTCAATCCAGATTAAGGATTCCTTGTAAAACCAGCTTCTACAACTTTTACTAATTGAAATCTGGCCCAGGCCTTTGATATTTGGCATATTTAACCAGAGAACTATCACTAGCTAGAATCAATGGTTTATTCAAATTCTAGACATTAATTTGAGGGAGTGTTAGTACAGTCTCAACTGATTTTTAAAAGTTGAAGCATGTGTTAAACTTGATTTTATTATACTGATTACATTATTATTTCTATAATATAGCTAGGTATAGGTTTGAGGGGTTTGTTTTAATGTTTTCCTTTGTTTTGTGGTATTTTCTAAATAATACCATGAAAAAACATAAGTTAATGTTTCCTGACACTCTTTGAGAGAAAGCAGATGTGTTGTAGCGAGCACTTGTGAACTGTGTATTTAATTGATCACTTGTCTAATATTAAAGTTACACAGCAGTCTTTTAAATTTTTTTGGTGTGTATTTGTCAAAGACACACATTGTCAATTTAGGTGATGGGTGGGTCTGTCCTTAAATATCTCCTGCCAGGCCTTCTGTCACTGACGTAAGTAGCTCAAGGCAAAGGTGAAGTGTGTCTGCTCTGAAGTCAGCGTAGTATCTTAGTTTTACCTTATTGTGTTGGTGCAGCTGTTAGTTAGAACAAACTGGTATTTTGTCACCTTTCTTTACATCTATTATCTTTCTATACCAGGAAGTCATCAATGCACTGAAACAAACTTGGCATGTTTCCTGTTTTGTGTGTGTGTCCTGTGGAAAACCCATACGTAATAATGTGTTTCACCTGGAGGACGGGGAACCCTACTGTGAGACTGGTAAGACCCCAGAGCCCTCCGTTCAGCTGAGATGGAGAACATCAGCCCTTCCTGCTCCAAAGCCGAAAGGGTGTATACGCAAAGTAGTTCTGAGTGTGGGATTTGAACAGCCACTTCCAGTTTCTCTCAGCCTTGTAGCAGAAACTGAAATGCTGTGTTGCTATCAGGACAGATGTTCTCAGTGTAACAAAGAGAAGTGGACATCCATTGATTAGTAGGAAAATGTTTTGTCTGAATCCCTAATACTTCATGGATAAATTCTACAAAATCATGTAGCTCAAAGCCACCTCTAAATACCTGTAGTGACAGTTTAAACCCCTGCAGTGCTGGGTCAGGGAGGGTGCTCGGGGAACCATGCAGTTCCCTGGATCGAACAAGTCCAGCTGCACGCAGGACCTGTGCTTGCCCTTGGATTGTCTCTCTGGCCACTTGATTTGTTCCCTAAGGCAAGTGATTTAACAATAAATTCTAAATCATTGTAATTTTTACTAAGTCAGGGTGATCCTAGAGGGTTGGATTGATCCCTTGGTAAATTTATTTTTAATAAACTAATCTCTCAGGACATATGTGCCGCATTGTCCTGTTACCTGAATGTAACACTTCCCAAAGACTGTCGGTGAATATTTGTGACACTTACTATTACACTTACTTGGATTTTACTATCAGACATGGATGTTTAAAAAACTAAACTGTTCTTTGAGTATGCTTCTAATCATTATTGCATATTTACTATGTATGGAGGTTTATTACTCTTCTAACAAATTTAAAATGTGATACTAGTAGAAAATAACATTTTATAGTAGTTAAGTTTAAAAAGTAGTCAGCTTCTAATATAAACTCGGTCAGCACCGATCAGTACCCACTCTCTGTTTATACAGTTCTTACTTTTTAAATTTCTTTTTGCTTCTCAGGACCAACCTATATCTGTCTAAGTCCACTATTTGGGAACCTTGGGAATTCCTGGAAATTCCCTTGGGCTCTTTTGAGAGACTGGCACAAGTTCCTGCCCTGACTCAAACAGACTATTTGACATTTTTTAATTCCATTAACTTTGCTAAAGAAAGAGCTATTTGTTTTCAAAGTTTTGCAAAACATTTCGACTAGCAAATAATCCCTGTTGAGCCAAGACATACCTAAAACTGTCTGATAGCAGACTGGTGTAGTCTAAGAATTCTGATTTTGGGTCACACCGGCGGACCTCAGGGCTCACACCTGGTTCTGCACTCAAGGCTCACTCTGGGCAGGCCCTGGGGACCATGTGGGGTGCCGGGGACCAAACCACGTCGGCCACATGCGAGGCAAGTGCCCTTTCATTGGACTGGGACTCCAGCCCAAAGAACTCATTTTCAGAACCAAACATTATTTCTATAAAGGGCCACATATTAATATATTTAAATGCCTCTCTTAATCAAGCCTACTTTGTTTTTATTTTCAGTTTTACTTGAGGCACCATAATTCACAGTAAAATTAATGATGGGTCTTCGGCACCACAACCTCCACTGCAGTGCCTGTCGTCTCGGCCCTGTCTGCCAGCCTCTGATCGTGGGTTCTGCTCCCTCCTGGGCTCCTTTCTGCCCTTCCCCCGGCCCCGGCCGGGGCTGCAGAGCCCAGACTCTGTCAGGGATGGAGCCCTGGCCGGCCGCCTGCCCCTCTCTCACTCTCTCTCCAAACCTCGGTCTCATTTTATTTTATAGCTGATATACCAGGTCTTTTGTTGTTTGTTTGTTTTTTCATCTTGTCACCTTTTCTTGGGCACTTGGGTTGTTCCAGGCTGTGGCTCTGGTGAGCAGTGCTGCAGTGAGCACAGGGTGCCAAGGGCTGTGCCAGACTGTGTTTTTGGTGCCATTAAGGGAGGTCGCTGGGTCATGGGAAAGTCGATTCTTAGTTACGGTAGCAGTGTCCATGCTATTTCCTAAAGCGGTGGGTCCAGCCAGCGGTCCCACCAGCCGTGGGTGAGGGTTCCTTCTTTCACACATTCCCCCCCTGACGCTGGCTGTTTTCCTCTGTGGTGTGTGCCCTCTGACCCGTGTGAGCTGAGCCTCACTATTGTCTGATTGGCGATCCCCGACGATCAGTGGTGCAGAGGGCTGTTCACATGCCTGCTAGCCGCATCTTTGTCTTCCAGAAGGTATCGCCTATTCTTCCCCTCATTCCTGACTGCGTTAGCTTTACCAGTGCTCTATGCATGTGGGCATTTTCCCTTGGAAGCCGAGTGGAGAGCGAGCCGTCAGGCCCTCTCCATTCCAGCCAGCCAGCCCAGCCCCACTGTCCCCGTCAGAAGCCTGGACGCGTCTTGGATCCAGTTTTGGCCCCTGTTCTCCATTTCCCACCTGTGTAGTAAATCTTGAATTTTTCACTCCCGTTTTGTATTGAATGCCTTTATTTCTGTCCTTCTCAGTTATCACTACTAAATTCATCTCTTACCCTTTTCCTTGATCATCAACTAAATTGTATGTTTTCTTTTCCCAGTTCCAAAGATAAAGTTTTTCTTTTTAGATGTGGATTGTGGTGAAGACCTTTCCAATGGAGTAAAAACTATCCGTGTACCTCCTGTTATCAGTTACTAATTCCTGAGCCCTCTCCTCTCTCCTTCTGAATGTACTTGGGCACATCTCCCAGAGTCATTTCTTTCTTGTCACTGCCTTCGCTCCTTTGTGTGGTACTCATCACAATCTAAAATTACATGTTTTTAAAAACACAAACTTTGACACCCGGTCACTAAGAGGACATGAGCCACGCCTGTTGGCTTCACTGCTGTGTGGCCGCCAGTCTCTGAATGGCACCTGGCTCACAGTGAGACCCTGGGGCTGTGTTCTGGGCAGATGGGCCAAGGCGTGCTGAGGTTGCTGAGGAAGCGGAACAGGGTCACATGAAAGTCTGTGTTATCCTGCCCAGGGCGGGCCGAAGGGGTCAGAAGCCAAAGCGTGAATCATGAACAAAGACACTAATGGAGTTCCTAACACAGAAGATATTTTCATGCTGATGCAGTCTGCCTTAGTAATAATAGAATAGCCTCTTATTTCAAACTGCTCTTCCTCTGAAGAAATCCTGTCAGTATTTCATAGCTGGGATCTGTGTCCCTGTGATGTGGCTGGTTTTCACCATGATGTTATATTGATCTGACCTCTCACCATGACATTATAAGTACATCCGTGTTGTCACCATGGTGTTATACAGTGGAAAGGAAATGGCAGCAGGCGAGTAAGCGCCTCCTGTACAGACAGGCAGGACCCACCTCGATGCCTGGGCCGCTGTTGGGGGCAGCAGGGATTCTGTGCTCTGTCGAGACGGTGCTACTTTCTTTACCTTACCAGAAAACCGTGTTGTCCTTTGTGCGTGTGTGATTGCTTAAGTCGAGAGAAGTGACAGTGGCAATAAGGAATGTCATCAAATAACATTTCCCAGTGGGAACTTGCGTTTCGTATCTCCAGCCAAACAGCGTGCCATCAGAAACATTCTGATTGCTGGTGACTCTCTCGATGTCGCTTCCTTGCAGTCTGATTCTGCCTTCGAAGAACTGTCACTCGTAAGCAGTGCCTCCCCTGAGTGACGTCTCCCTCTCTCCCTGTGCTCTCTGCCCGATACAGATTATTATTCTCTCTTTGGCACCCTGTGCCGTGGCTGCGAGTTCCCCATCGAGGCTGGCGACATGTTCCTGGAGGCTCTGGGCGCCACCTGGCACGACACCTGCTTCGTGTGCTCGGTGAGTAGTGTGCCCGCCGGGCGCAGGGCGCCAGCCCCAACAGACGCTGCATGGAGCTGCTTCCGGCACCTTCCACTCCCACAGCCCACAGCGGGAATGTTGCTGTTTCAGTGTCTTTAATGCACGGGCGCCTTCAGAAATTATTCAGCATGCAGTAAAATCTCTCCTTAGACAAAAGTTCTTTTTAAAAATACATTTTTTTTATTAAGCAAAAGCTATGTATTTATTTTTTAAAAGTAAGGATCTCTTCTTATTTTGAACTATGTTTTATTTGCAGTATTTTTAGAAGTATCAGATACCTCTTAATATAGAAGTAAATACAAAAATCTATTGAATTTACACTGGAAATAAATGAAATGTTAATCCATTTCCTTAGCAACAGTTCACAGGTCTTTTTTTATATTTGAAAACTGTAATAAGTAAATAGTTTTTATATCTTTTTATATCTGTCTTAAGTCTGCTGTTTGAGATTTCAGTGGTTTTTTGTTTGTTTTTGTTTTTCTTTGTTGTTTTTTTAAATCAGTGAGAATAGATTGAAAAAGTAAATCTACGATGAAAGTAGTGCAGCCCTGTGTTGGATGTAGCGCTGGTGCTAGCCCTGGACACCTGGGCCTCAAGGCGCTGTGTCACTGACTGCCTGGGACCCCAGGGCTGCCTGTGAGGTGCTGCCGAGGTCTCAGGACCCCCAGGGCTGCCTGTATGGTGCTGCCAAGGTCCCGGGACCCCAGGGCTGCCCGTGCGGTGCTGGTGAGGCCCGCGTGTGCTCGCACTCACTCTGCCTTGCGTGTTCGCCGGCACCTTCTCCAGCTTTTCACTCTAGCCCAGATACTTGTGTTTTGAATTAGGACTGATCTACGGACAGTTTTCAGGAGCTGTTGTGTACAGGGGAAATAGTAGCATGAAGCGGATGGAATGATTTTCCTAAGTGTTCCCTTGCACCTTTTCTTATTGACCTCACCCGACTCTTAGAATTGATCAGATCTGTAAAAAGCAATGATTGTAGGTAAATGTACCTTACTCCGACTCGCCAGTAGGACTGCTACGAGCTCTATCATGAACAAAGATCATGGAGAGAGAAGCCCTTACTGTGGGTGGCGACTGATGGTAGGGTTTTCCTGTCCGCCAGACGCTGACCAGGACTTTACTCTACAAGCAAAGAAATCAGCCCAAACCAAACCTGAGTGTGTGTCTGTGTATTTGCATCTGTGTGTGTGTGCGACTGGGAGTTGGGGATTTGACACTGAGTTACTGAGTTGTGTTTTCTTTTGGGATATTTTGATTCTGCAGGTGGGAGTTAGGTTCAGCATGTTAATCAGGATTGTGGGTCTGACGTTATATTATTAATGTGACCTTTTTAATGTGTTCATTAGGGTTGAGTGCTTTACTCCCAATATAGAAAAGTCATGATGATTATTTTATTAAGAATACAGTTCAAGAAAAAAATGATTTTCTGTTGCTAATAGAGATTACATGAAGTATTGTTGTAACTGAAAAATGTCAGGGTATTCTAGACAGACAACTAAAGTGCTTTGACATACTATCTATTGATTAAGAAAACATTTTTCTCCTTCTTATATATATAAGGTAACATATTCTCTTAAATAATGCTTCTTTTGCAGGTATGTTCTGAAAGTTTGGAAGGCCAGACCTTTTTCTCCAAGAAGGACAAGCCGCTTTGCAAGAAACACGCTCATTCTGTGAATTTTTAATAGTCAATAGTGTTGGAGGAGAGAAGGAATTTGAAGAGTAAAAGAGAATCAAAAATACCAATTACTTTTTTGAGTTAATATTTATATAAAGTTTTGAAAAGTAATAGTGGGTCTGAGGGGATGAATTCCAGCTTTTAAATCCAAGTCTATGAGGAAATATTTGGCCTCATGAAGTCAAGAGACCATTTGACATTTATTATTACTTCTCCCCTGTTTTTCTGCCTCTAAAATAACTTTTATAAAAATCAATTTCCTGGTTGACTCTTAAATTCATGTTAGAATAAATTATGGAAGAATTAAGTTTTAAATGAAAAAAATCCAGTCTTTATGCTGAAATAATTATATTTTCCTTTTATATAGTTGTAAGTAAATCTACAAAAGGCAATGAAATGCCTTACTTTTTGTCAATAAATGAAACATTATATTTTTTAAATTATGCTTTTCTGTAAAGCAGTAAATGGGCTTTTAAATGGAATGTCATCAATAGTTGGTATCAGTTTTTGTAAAACTCTGCATTTATTTTTGTATAACTGTTTATCATTCCAATAGGAAAGGCCAATGAAGTTTGTGATCAAAATGTGTCAGGCCAATAAGATATTTTTCTCTTTTTCTCCCTCCCCAAAGCCACCATATAGTTTTTTAAAAAAATATTTTTTTGCCTTGTATTAAAATATGACCTTTTTTTTTTTACTTTATCACCTGTATTGGCCAAAAAAATTTTTTTTTATTCCACAGTAAAAATCTAGTTGAATAACTTTGAACTCTGATGGTTTTATCTCTCTTTAAAGAGAATAAATAGAAGATAGTGTGGTTAGGAACTAAAGAAAATGAGCATTATATCCAAAGTGTTAAGAAACTCACCACATTTTAGATAGTGACTAAATTAGATTGGTTTCAAAATTGATCTACTGAGTGACATTTTGAGACTTTTCTTTGCAGAACAATGTGTCCCCCTTATACATGAAAAAAATAAAACATTAGCTTGGGGATATAAGACCTAGTTTTACTTCTTTTTGGTAGTTCTTTTTCAATAGTAAGGAAACTAATTCCACGCGTGGTTATGAAATTTGGCTTACTTTCGTTCACAGAGTTTGATAAGTAAGAGAACCTAGTGAATTACCCAGACTGGCCCATCATGCTTTTTCTTCCTATGAGGAAAAATTATGGAATGCCACATGAAGACATGGGAAAAAACGTAAAAGTCATAGCTTCTCCTGAGATGTCCCCACTGAGAAACAGATTGTGGCCCTTGATAGTTTCTCCTTTGGTCCCGAGAAAGGATAAAAGCCCAGGATGCTACTAAGCCGTGACTGAACTTGGTTCGGGGCGAGATGCTGTCTGAGTGTGGGGCCCAGCTCCCGCCGGCCTGCCCATCCCGACTTCCATTGTTTACACACCGCTGCCAGGGAGCTTCCCAGCTACCGTCTGTGCTCAGCCTTTGAGGGACCAGTCCTGAAAGCTGTAACTCATGGTTTCACGGGCTTTGCTCTGTCCAGAGGATGACGAGCTGGTGAGGAAGGATGAGAAGCTCGCACGGGGCAGATGGCGTCTCCCCTCACGGCCTCTCCCGCTGCTCCTCCCACAGCTAGTCAGGCTCCTGGGCTGAGCCTGCATTTTCCTCGCTCTGCTGAGACCACCTGCAGACGAGGCCGCCAGCCTGTGCTGGTCATCAGGCCTGCCTGTCCTCAGAGGCGCACACAACAGAACATAAGCCCACGGCTTTGTCTTGGGGCGGGAGAGATTTTCCTCGGCCTTTTAAAGATCATATGCAGAAGTCGTATTCGATTAGTCAGTGACAGTGGGTATTTTCGTCAAAGATTTTCTTATTTGACCTGAATTTTTTATAAAAACTGTTTTGCGTTAAGGATGCTATTCTTTTCACTTATTATTTCTACAGCTTCCTCCTGGAGCACTGTGTTTCATGTCTCCAGAGTTAACCCTTCAAAAGTCAATGTTGCTTCCTAATTTATCATTTTGTCTTGGTGCTTTATCTTTCTCTTCTGTGCAGAAACTTTATATCTGTTCATAAAACAGTTACCCACCAAATAAATACTGATTACAGTCCAGAAGAATCTGTGCTTTCTAGTGGGGAATGCCATATTTAAGACACCAGCATTAACTTTAATAACTGACATAGCACTTTATTCTTCTGGTAATCTCCCTGAATATTTATTTTTCTGATTATAAATATTCCATGTCGGTAGCAATTTTTTTATTATTATTATTACCTCTTTCTTATAGAGCATTTCCTTGTAGTCTTGCTAGATGTATATTTTGGAATGTTCACTTAATATACTGCAAATTAAAATCTTAGAATGTAACTCCAAGAACCTGGATATCTCAATTCTAAAGTGATAGACGCATAATTACATTTCTCTAGACATAACAGGATTAAAAGTCGTCCCTCAAAATGATCTCCTCTCCTAACAGTGGCATATGTATGTATACATATGTACATATATATGCACGTATATATGTTGATTCTTGTTACATTTGGAATCTAAACTAAAACCTTATTATTTGCTAACCATGCTAAGACAAGTAGACATTAGTACGTGTTATCTCAATATGGCACCATTTTCAAAGAGTATTATCAGAGCCATTTTTAAAGAAAACAGTTTTCCTGGTTCAAGTGTGAATTGAGTCTTCTGTTAATTTTTCTGTGACATTTCATGTCGAATCATCTCTGTTGGGAGGCAGGGCTTTTCAAACCACGGGAACAGCAGGCACCTGAGCAGCCTAATGTGGATTCGGACTGTCCCCTCCCACGCCCCAGGTGTTGAGGTATTTGGGTCTGCATCCCTATGGTATCATTTGCCATATGTACTAATCTCTATCTTCTGTTTCTTTACATTTTTACATTTGTATATGTCTGTGCTATTTTTGCTTTGGATAAATTTTCTGATTAAAAACACATGAGAAATATAATCAACAAAGTGAGACTTAAATGTGCACATATTTAATAAATAAATGGCTATAGTAATGTAGATATGCTGTCCTAGTTTTTCTTTCTTTTTTTAGAGGGCAGTGGTTTTCATATTTGAGTTATCTTGAAGAAAAAAAATTGTTCACAGGATAGAATGAGATACAGTGATTCTCAGCAGAATTCCACTTTTTATGATATTTGTCTATCAAAATGCCTGCCCAGGGACCAAACATTTGCAGATACTGTCACATTGAGTCTACTTTAATCCATTGCTAGATTGTGTACTAGTAGGTACATAATAACTTTGTGAATTAGTGGGTAAGTAAGCTCTGTGGTCTTTCAAAATACTGCTGAAATTACTCTTGGGAATTTACTGTCCTATCCAGCATTATATTATGTCATTTATCATACACACACAACGTGAGTGTCCATCTGCATTTCCACATTTTTCATCCACGAGGGCACATTACATGACTACTCCAGGCTTTATTTTCCCGATCTCATTAACTTCCACAACGGGTAGGCACACCTTTTTCTTGTTTGTTTATTGGTTTGAGTAAGGTTTTTTTTTCCAGCTGCATTAAGAGGAACGTTTCTGTTACAGGCTGTAGATTGAAATAAAAGACAAATTCAAGTCTATTTGCTCACAGTATATTAAACTCCAGAAGCCAAACTTACAAGGGCATCAAGTCTGCCTCTGACATTTTAATAGCTGCTGTTTGGTTTCTATCAATCACGTCATTGCACATTAAAATGCACCCACAAAATAAGAGATCTGTCATTCCTTCGTTAAGAAACAGTAATCCACTACAAGATTTATAGGCTCAAGACTCCAGTGTGTGTTCACAATAAATCCCCATTCAGTGCCCAGACGAGAACAAGCCTCCCTGTCGTTCAGTGTTTTCTGCTCATGTGTCCCCAACAGAAGATTATCAAAGGTTTCTTGCAGAACTATGTACAAAATCCGTTTTGCGAGCAGAAGCTTAATTTAGTTTGTGGTTTCCCTTTTCGAGTTCGCTCAGACAAGATCTTGATTCTGTCAGAAACACATCGGCACTGAAGTATTATTAGCAAGCCTGGTGTTAATTAGGGAGAATTACCAGAAATAGTTTGCTTCGTGGGAATTCATTACAGCATCGCACTTGACTGGTGGCGGCATAGGAGTCACTGAGCGAGAGCAGCCACACTCGTAACCGCTAATTAACAGGGTGCCGGAATTCCACAGAGGAGGTTTCATCCCCAGTGCGGGGCCTCGGGGAAAATGGGTCCTTTGCGGTGCTTCGGGTCTGAGAGAGGAACGCAGCTCGGACCCGGGGCTGCCCGGCAGGCCTGCCAGACTGATACCGTCCTGTGTCCTACTCATGAATGGGGGCATTTAGCGCAGGACGCGCCCAGCCTCAAATTTTGTGAAAGAATGTTTCTCTCCGAAAGTCAACCTTAGACTCAACACGAATGGGGGAGGGGAGGGCCGGGGGGCAGTGTTGAGAGCCTCGCCTGGCTCTGAGGGGCTCCGAGGGGCGCAGCATATCCCACGGGGGTCCGAGCACTGGACCTGACCAGGTGCCTGCAGGGCGAGCACCCTCCTCATTGTGCTATCTCTCTGGCTTCTGGATAACAGTTTTATGTGGTACGGTTCACTCAACTATTGCTTAAAGGGCACTTGGAGCTGTTTGTGGTGTTCTGGGGTTCTCGGGTTAGGTGCTCAGGAGCATGTCGGGTGGCTCGGTGCTTGGGGAGAGCCAGAGAGACTGTGGGGGTTGGGGAGGCCCCTGCCTTGTGTCCAGCCCAGTCCGGATGGGCCTAGCACTGCTGGGTTGGCCAGGACCACTCCCCCTTCTGTGGGGGGGTAAGGAGGGAGCATGCGGGTGGCCCACTGTGCATGACTGTTCTGACCCAGTACCTCAGCAGAGCAGGGCTTGGGTCCACGGAACCAGGATGGAGACCGGGGAGTCATGCCCCGAGCAGCGCCGAGGAAGAGGGTCCCCACCCTGAGTGGACCAGCGGCAGGTTAGACCAGCGTCGGCTGAGGACACAGCCCCACGTGCATCTTGACTTTCTGCAACAAAGCTTGGAGCCGTAGTTTAGTGCAGAAGAATAAAACAGTTTCATGTCAAAAAACCACCGATCACTGATCTGAGGGAGAAAAATGATTTAGAATTCACAGAGGACTATAATTGCTTGATTTCTCTTCAGGAAAATAGTTCCCAGGGCAACCAGCTTCTCTGAATTGACCGGCGTGGCCTCTACTACATCTGTCTCCAGCGTCGGGGGTTCAAATAATTAAATTCTGAAGTAGCTTTTCATCCTTATGTTCTGAATGATCACATTGGCTCTCTCGTTCAAAGAGACTGCAGGGTTTTTTCTTCTCTTCTCCTCCTTTTGCTTGTGAAGCACTCACAGCGGGCACCCCTTTATGCACTTACTCGAAAATTCCATTGTTTAAGTGTATTTCAGTAGACCGTCATCTTCCCAGAGGTTTCTCCTGATTCTGCCATCCGTCCACCCCAGCCCAGAATATTACTGATATGCCAAAATGCTCCGTTGGCAAGTAGAGGTAAAAAGAGCTCCAGTGATTAATATTAGCGTTTGTTGTTATTTTGAACATAAAGTCTGGCCTAAGTGACCGGATATCAAGAACATCTGAACATTCTTCCATCCCTCTGAGCTTGCCATTCCGGCCCTCTTCCTTACTTGAGTGAAGGAGAGAAAAACCCGGGTAGCTCCGAAGTATGAATCTGGGCTAGAAGTTAAAGAGCTCTGATTACACCAGCCAACACTTAGAATTTATCTTATTTCATTAAATTGTTATGCTCCTGCTTAGTAATTTTTTGGTATCCCTGTAAATAAATACTTTAAATAGAAATTTATTTCATAAGTAATTTGAGATACAACGAAATGAACCCGCTGCTTCTCTCCCGGGAGAGGGATCAGTGGTGTGAGTCTCCTTTTTCCATTTTGTAAGCCCAGTGGTACTCAGGGCTAACTTCTGGCTTTGTGCTCAGAGGTCACTCGTGGTGGGCTTGGGGACCCTTATGGGATGCCGGGGGTTGAACCTAGGCGAACGACATTCGAGGCAAGCGCCGTAACCGCTGTACTATCTCTCTGCTCCTGTAGTGAGAACAGAGACAAGTACAGAGTTATGGCTCTTAGGACAAGCTACCCGGAAAGTTCTCAGGCCACTTCTGACCATCGGAGCTCAACCCTGGTGTTGCAAGACTGAGTTACAGATCAGAGTTCCAGCGAGGGCAGGGGTCTATGCGTGAGTCAGGCTGAGTTCAGGCTGGACTCCAAAATCACAAGAAATTAACAGGAGCTTAATGTGAGGAATGAATAAGCTATGAAAATACAGAGAGCCCACCGTGGGGCTGAAAGAAAGCCCTGGGAGAAACAGCCTCTGCAGACCTGTGCCTCTTCTCTGGAGGTCGCGGCGGGGGAGTGTTCACAGCCGCTGGCAGTCTCGAGGTCCTCTGTTTGCTGAAGGTAGGCGTGGGCCAAGGAAGCAGCCCCCAGGGCCAGGAATCTTCGCCTGTGAGAGTGGAGAGTGGAGTCCTACTGCGGGCACAGGCTGGCGCAGACAGGTCTGTGGCTTATGTGGAAACCGACTCTGAGGCCGTAGGCTGAAGCTCCCCATGCACCTCCAGCCACGTGGCCACACTGTGCGCCACTGACAAACTCCCTTCAGCTCGGGTAAGGGAGATGCTCACAGCCCAGCCTCTCGGCAGCCAGTGATGCCTGCTGTGGGCTGGGAGGAGCCGGTTGACTGGTGCTCTGGATTCTCCCAAAGTTGTCGCTTGCCCTACCCAGAACATCCGTGCATGTTCTCATAAAGTGGAAAGTTCAGCCCCAAAACTCTGTCCTCTCTGCAATGCACGTTTGTTGTTCTTAGTGTTTTTGCTATGCAAAGCAGCACAGGAATAGGAGAGTTAACTTGTTTAAAGTGACATCAATGGGATGTCAAGAAGACAGCAGGATTATCGTCAAAAATTTGATGATTAATAGTCCTTGAAGATGCAATATAAGCATCATGTGGCATGGATTGTGTTATGCCCTAAGCATCCGGTATAATTGACAGTTCTGAATGTTAAGAGATTCTTGGATGTATACTATAATACAACCAGGGCTGTCTTTTAATGAGTTTGTTTCATTACACTATCAAGGCTTTCCTACAGTCAAGATGAATAAACATTATCTATGGGGGTGTTTGTTTTTGTGCTTTTGTTTTGGGGTCCCACTGAGCCGTGCTCAGGGGTCACTCCTGGCTATGTCTGGACACCATATGTGGTGCTGCGGAAGGAACCCAGGTGAGCCACGTGGCAGGAAAAGTGCCCGACCCACTGTCCTATCTCTCCGGCCCCAAATTAAACATTCTCAATTGAACTTTAAGGCTTCAATTAAGTTATTCAAAGTTTGGGCTTTTTTTTAATAGATCTAAACCCCTATCATAAAAATGTGGATCACTGCCCTATTCAGTAATTGAGAGGGGAACAATTTTGTCTTCCACAGTAAACTAAATCATGACTACTCAAGCTTGCAGAGTGTGTAATTGCTTTGTGTTGTAAATATAAAAATCAATCTGTGGTGTGGTCTTTGCCATTTCTGTAGTACACTCAGCTAGGGAAGGAGAGTTGTCGGCCTTGCTTCCCTTGGGTAGTGTGTGTAAAGGGCGCTGGCTGACCCGGGTAGGTGCCCCACAGACGTCACACAGGGAGGCTGGCAACTGGACTCTGCATTATCGAGTCTGCCTGGGACATGGCAGCCCTCCCTGCAATGCACACTCATTGTTCTTGGTGTTCTCGTTACACCCAGCAGCACAGGAATAATGAGAGCAAGTTGGTTCAGAGTACAGTCAACTCTGTGTGAAGCCAAGCAGGAACACAGCAGGAATTGCAATTCCAGTGGCGTCCACGTAGGCCAGCAGCGTTGGGTTAGACAGACCAGTTGATTGATACCGACCAAGATTCTTTAACAGTGGAGGGAAGTTGGTTCCAGAGGAACCCTAAGGAGGAGCTGGAGAAGGTGTTTATACACACTGACAAGTTGCCTGAGAATCTTGTT